CCGGGCGGCGTGACTCGAATTTGTTCGGCTAGCACGAGGGCTAGCACGTGCAGGTCGGGTCAAAGAGAATTTTTTGACCAACGCATCTTGAACTATCCTTTATATTTAAGTTAAATGTTCTCTCTTCTGAAGACGAAGAAGAGATAACGGTGACGGGATCGAGTTTCTCTTCGAAAACTGATTTCATAATTTCCGTACTACTTTTTTTTGTGTATCTAATAAGAACCGCGCCTCCGCTATATAATCGGATTAATTATGCCGCATTCATTACAGTTATCGATTATGTTTAGAGGCCGTAATAAAACGTAATAAAACGTAATATTTGCGTCCGGTGTTTGCAAAATAGGATCGATCGGCGTCTACCTCGGTGTCCCGAAGCGACGCGATGTCTCGGGCGAGCTATCGAATGCGCTATATACACGCGTGATATGATCAAACAATGCATCGCGCCGGGAGAAAAGGGAGCGGCGTTACTCGCCGTTTGTTGAATCGATTGCGTCACAGAGCGACTTTTTTGACACTCGATTGAGATAAGACGTTGCGCGGCTATAAGTACATATACCCGGCAGAAAAGTTCTCTCGCTTTTACTCGCGGGCGGAGATACAGGGAGGATACTTTTTAAGAGGCTGAGTCACGTAGCAAGGTACAAGGGAGAAGTTCGGAAGTGATAACCTGGCCAAGAGTAGTTGGGAAGTGCAACAGTTTGTTATCAGTACATCCGGTAAGTACCAATAAAAACAGCTGTTAAGAGGAAGTAACGTATAAGAGAGAGAGGGAGACGGAGAGAGAGAGAGAGGGGAAGGACATTGTTCCGGCGTCGCACTGGGAGACAGACAAATAGAATTACGATTTGCAATCGTCGTCGCCGTGGTAACTCCGGGTCACCCCCGCGTAAACTGTGAGCGAGGGGAATTTATGGAAAAATTATGCTGCAAATACCCTTGACGTATAAAGTGCCCGTACTTTCGTAAGTCCTTTTAGACGATGTCGCCACCCACCGCGCATCGGGGGTATCGGTATCGGAATTGCTATTTGCAGACGGATCCGTGAGAAGCATGAATTTATCGTAGAGCGGAATGGAAATCGGCAGTTGGATTGACACCGCCGGGGCGAGTGCAAGCAACTGCACTCGCGTTCCGCCGGGTTTTACATTTTACCGAGAGAAGAGAAAAGAGGTCGATTGAAAAAAGAAGAGAAGGGCGTCTTGCTTTTCCGCGAACCACTCACGCGGATTTAATGGAATAACGCGTCGTCAATATTAAGAAAATAAATTTTAGGCACCGTTGAATCGGACAGTCGGAATAAAAAAGAACTTGAAATTTTATCATTACTCTGGAGAGAAAGAGAGAGGAGGAGGGAAAGAGAGATATTACTGGTGGGGCATATAAAACTTCGACAAACTCCATTTCCACGTAGATCCCATATGTATATATACGTATATATACATATATACATATAGTGTGTCTCATAATTCGCGAATCACTTATCGTATAGGCAAGTAACGCGAGTTAGGCTGAATCGAAGAGTCCTGTACTGTTTTGCGATTTTTGCAATAATTAATAATAATAAAGATCTGAGAATAAGCGTGTGTTTAGCGACAAGAGACTGCTCAGCATTACGCATTATTTATGTTTCCCCTAAACACACTCTCTCGCCAATTATTGTCAAGCGCGTAATAACTGCAATTGTTGCGTGACACTGTGCTATATCTTTTCGCTGAATTGCACTGATTCGCGAACCTTTATTAATTAAGTTTGTATAAATTATTGAGAAACTGGTAAAAGATTTTCTGTTCAATTAACTGGCTCTACCTGCTCGCGATAAATGGTACGACAATTATCTCCCAGACACCCTATATATACATATATACCTCAGAGACGAACTTGCATAAATTGATGAGGTAATTTAGTCATTATCGGACAGGCAAACGGACGAACGACGTAAAAACGGCGAAGGAAATGAAATTGTCGAATAGAAGAATCCTGTATTTTAAGTTAGAAAGTCCGACCCCTAACTTTACCTATATTCACATTTCGACCCACTCCCTGCTGCGGCCCGCTCGAACCAACGTCGATAATCTAATCCAAGTTTCCATCTCAGTCTATATCATAGGCAGGATCATGGACTAGGGAGAGACACCGAATTGTTAAGCCGGGTCGTGAACTAATCCCCACTGTTGGCGCAATTCGGTCTAACTCTCGTGCTCGCTAGGGTATAGTTAGCGTTGCATCTAATCACCATATTTCCTTGGAAACGGCGAGCAAAGTGTAGAATCGCAAAATAAAAGAATTCTTTATTTTAAGTTAGGAAGTCCGTTCTTTAACTTCCCCACCCTCGTGTTTCGACTCACTCTCTACTAAAAACTTGAACAAACACTGATAAGTTAATCCGATCTTCCATCGCCGTCTATATCATAAGCAGGATCATGGATTAGAGAGAGATTGCAAATTGTTAAGCTGAGTCGTGAACTAATTTCTACTTTTTTTTAATTTCTACTGTTATGTAATTCTAACTCTCGCGCTTGTTAGGAAATAATTAGCGTTCTACATAATTATCAGTTTTTTTTTGTGTGGAAGCGATGAGTGATCTGGAATCGCGAAATAGAAGAATTCTGTATCTTGAATCTTAACCCCTTGACTGCCACACCACTTTCCTCGAGTGGTCTTAAAATGCCAAAAAAAGTTCTCAAAAATTAAGGAAAGTTTATATAGAGGAGTTTTTGAATGCTGATGGCGATTTCAAGTCAAATTTAAAAAGTTTTTTGTTATAAACGTTTATGAGAACTTTTGTCATAAAGTTTATTTATACTTTTTTTTCAAATATGATTTCAAAATTATGTTCAGCACATCCAAAAATTTCTAAATGTATACCTTGTTTTAATCATTAATTTATTGTAACATTTTAATATAATAGAATACCTCATGATAAGAATATTCGATAATTTTTATTTTTCTTCTATATCTTTTTTTTCTGAAGCAACATTTTACGTGTCGGACTCAAAAATCGTGTTCAGCACACTCAAAAACCCTTAGTTACTTTGTTTCAGTGATAAAATTACTTAACGGCTCTAATCTAACAAATGACGAGGGAATGCATTTTCGCTGCAGTGAACGCAAAGTTCAAAATGATGAGACTTCTCGTCATCGGCAGTCAAGGGGTTAAGTCAGAACGATTGACTCTAACTTCTCTATCTTCACATTTTCCACTCCTTCCACTTTCCACTAAGAGCCACTCTTTACTAATTGTAAGACCTACTTGAACAAACATTGACAAGTTAATCCGATCTTCCATCTCTGTCTTTATCATAGATAAAATTATAAACTAGAAAGAATTAAACAACAAATTATTAAGCCGGTCGTGAACTAATTCCTTCTGTTGACGTAATTCTACCATTCGCACTGAGGATAGTTATAAGCATTGTATCTAATCGCCATAGCTCTTTTGAAAACGACGAGTGAACTGGTATCGCGGAATAAAAGAATTCCGTATCTTTAGTCAGGAAGATCCACTTTCCTACACACATTTCGACCCACTCCCTACTGCACAGGTCCGCTCGAACCAACGTCGATAATCTAATCGGATTTTCCGTCTCCGTCTATATCATAGGCAGGGATCATAGACTAGGGAGGGATAGTGAATTGTTAACCCGGAACGTGAACTAATTCCTATACTGTTGGCGCAATCCGATCTAATTGTAAGTCTCGCCGGAGGATAGTTAGCGTTACATCTAATCATCATACTTCCTTTGAGACGCGAGTTTTCAAACTTGCCCCAATTCATCCTCAAATTCAATTTTCTCGCCTTTACATAACCGCATTTTCACCTCGTAATTTAATACGTCGGACGCGCGGCCTTCAACCTGGCAATAAGTACTATTGACATTTAAAGAATATCGGGGATCAGCAACAATATCGATACCTGAAAAAGACGCACCTCGTATTCTCGTTATTACAGATACTATTTGCGACAATTAGAGGAAAAGAGGTACAACATAAGGAATTAATGAAAATCGATATATACAATATTGCGTGAATCATGAAAATGCAAATATGCTGTTCTAAAATTATCCGCAAGCAATTATTTTCAAACGTATTTTTACGCGGCGTTTCGAGTGCGCCGATATCTTTCGCTCGATATCGGCTTCCGGATATCAGTATCTCGACGATATCGCGGATAGGCAATGTCCACGCAAAGATCACGACGCGAACGCTGATTATAACCGAGTACCGTGCCTCGGTACAGCGTTAGGATATTTAAAAATCCGTAATCGCACAAGGGAGTAGAGCCAATCTACTAAAATTGCAGGACACGGCGCGGCGTGCGCGCGAGAGAAAAAAAAAGAAGGTGGAAGCGGGGCGACGCGACGTGGCAGAGTAGCGTGGAGAGAAAGGGTGGTGGAGGAAGAAGGTAAACCGGAGGAGAGGCAGGAGGATGCTATCACGGACACAGGGGTTGGAAGAGGCTGAAAGGGAGTCTCGCGTCCGGGGGGAGGGGGACGGGGGGTGGCAAAGGGTGCGGATGTACCGCGGGGGGCGAACAGGCGGGCGAGCGGACGGGCGGGCGGGCGGGCGCGATAGGGATGCTGCGAGAGAGCAGAGAGAGGTGTTTCAGTCGCGCGACGGCTCTCGCCCCAGCCAGTCGATCGAGCTGTCGTTACGCCGAGCGCAACGGTCGTTCGCGGGGAAGATCAGCGTCGCGACGAGACGCAGCTCGTTTCGCGCGTGCCGCGCAATTTTTCCCGCCGATCCGGAGCCCGCGGAAACGCGCGCGGCGCACGACACCTTTCTTCGCGAAACGCAAAAGTCTCTTTCCACCCCCCTTTTTTCACCCTGCCTGTCGGGCGCGAGGCTTTTCCTCGTCGAGCAACCACCTGTACCCGTTGTCGCGATCGCGCCCTCCCGCGACAGCGCCGTTATGCCGCGGGCGCGTACGCGCCGAGCCGAGGAGCCGGACGGCGGACGGCGCGTCGCGCGGCTCGCGCGGCCAACCGCAGCGAAAAACGCGGCGGCCGCGTAGAGGACCGTCTTCGTACTGCGCGTCCGTTGGCGGGAGTCAGTTCCGGAGTCAAGGTCGTCTGAAGAGAGAGAGGATTCCGTTTTTCTCTCCCTCTCACGCTCTCATCTCGCGAAGGCTCGAGGGGCGGAAGCTCGACTCGCGTCGAGCGCTACAAGTCGTCGGTTGGGATCGTCGCGGCGTCGAGGGGGATCATGATTTTCCTCTGACGAAGGTAAGGACTAAAGACCCCGAGCGTTATGCTAATCTCGCGCCTGCTTTTAACTTCACACGCCCGGAGTCTTTCGGTCGTGTTAATTTTTGCTCGCGTCGGGGGGAGGTTTGATCTCACACAAGGCCGATGGAGAGAAAGAGAGAGAACGAGAGAGAAAGAGACATTCCCCCGCGGCGATTTGCTTAACGAATGTTGCTTTTTGCGCCGCGATTCGGGCGGGCGCTGAGTTTCGGTCGGAATTACGAGTTCGAAGAAAACCGTTGAAAAAAGCGCGCTAACCGCGACTAATGCGAGTCCACATTAACGGCAGCCTAAGTGGCCGCCTTCGCGAGGCGTTAATTGCTGAGATGTACGTAAAAAAAAGGACAGGACCTCTAGTTAATTATTACTTGTCTAGTGCATTTGCGTTTATTGCGTTTTAACTCGAGCAAGGTTATTATCAATCGATTGATCGAGTTATAATTTTAACTTGGCGCGTTTTTTCATGTTTTGCACGACGCTTTCAGCTTGTCAGCCGGAACGTTTTTTTCAGGCTTGCGATATACACGGAAATTTGAATCGCCTGAAAATACAACGGCATCGAAGAACGCGATGGCTTATATGTGTACGGCATAGAGATTCCCGTTTTTTTTCTCACGTTGTTGCACCAGCAGCGTCGCTTTGACCGTGCCTCCGCAAATTTCGCGTCTCTCGAATAATTTTGTCAGAGCGATTTTGTTTAATTACTGTACCGGTTTAGGTTAATTGCTTTCTCATTTAGTATGCAAAATAATTATTAATCGATTATTCATGTTCTAATTTCAAGTTACCGCGCGTTTGTAATTGATTTACCGGGACGAAATATTGTATGTTTTTTTGAAAATGTCGATTATTTATCGGAAATGACAAGAATGAGATATACTGTTCATGATTTATTAAGCCGATCCTCGTGATTAGCGAAATGTGAAAGTTTAACTGCTTTTTCAAATTAATGTCTCACTGAGAAATTTTAATACATTATGTAAAATTACGACAAGTGTACGTATATACTCTTGCGAAATACCAGGTGATATATATCGTGTAAAATGTTTCAATTTTGTATATATATTGTAATCAATTGATCATAGATATTTCTCATTGTAGGTATAATTTTTAAAGCAAAAAAGTGCGCTCCGCGTTTATTAAAACTGAATTCATTGAAATAATTAATATTGATACTATATATATTAATATATGAAGAATTTATTTTAATAATTTTATAATTCCATTTTCTTTTAATCGTGAAAATAAAGCTTTAAAGTAAAAAAAAAATGAATAATTTGCAAAAAAAGCTTTTTTTGAAAAAGCTTACCTCATTAGTTTGATTTATTAGGTAACCATATTTGTATTTTAAAAATTATTACTCTTGATTTTCATTATATTTCTTTTATTAAATAAGAATTATATGAAAGACACGCGGAGATAACTCGATATGCCTTACAATAATAACTCATCACGTCTGTTTTCTGGTGAAAGAATTATTTAAAAATTGAGAAGTTTAATCAAGTATTAAAAAATTTGTAACCACATATGTCTCACAAAACGATACTTTTATTTAACATTCCGTGATAATATGATGCGTTTTGATTCGGAATCGCTGAAATACCGTTCCAGCAAATTTACGGTAATCGCGGACAAATTTCCGAGCAGACTTTTTTTTTTTAGTTTTTCCAAAAAAAGAAACATTCGTTAAATTTCCAGCGGACATTGCGATCGTTCCGATGTACGTAGTTTCGTAGTAATTACTTTCTCGTGCTGGACCCTTTTTTGCTCCCAAGCATTGATCAATGGGCTCTTATCTCGCAGAAAAACAGAGAAAGCGAAGGTGCGAGCATCCGTAACGCGTATCAGACGAAAATACGGGCATTTTCTTCTCATTGTCGCGAGAGCGAGAGCGAACAAGAGAGAGAGAGAGAGACAGAGAGAGAGATTCACAGATTCACACACCTTCGCATACGTATCACGGCGATTTGTGTGCAATGTGTGCATAATCAATTTGCTCGCGCATCCCGCGGATTGGCGGAAGTTCGATAAAGCGCGACGGCGTTTGATCGCGTAGGATTGGCTGGAAAGCCAACGGATGCCACATACACGCGAAATCTCGGCTAACCGTGTGCGCGTACGGTGTACGGTACGATCGCGTCGTATGTTTATATTGTGCCCGGTCTATCGCGTGCATATACCGTCGCGTGCGTGCGTGTATGCGTGTGTGGGTGCATGCATGCATGTGCGTGCACATGCGTACGGCAAATAACTTCGATGGGCGCCCACGCCACGTTTCGGGAGAGTCTGCTCAAACAGACGAATACATTTTCATGGAATGCAAAATATGGAGCGACGGTTACTGCCGCTCCATGAATTAGTGAACACGGTCTCCATCCCCCGTACGCGTATCTCACACTGGGCTGCAGATAGCGAATTCCTTCCTCGCCCCGGCTGACAGCCATAATTCACAGTTCACGGTTAAGCGTAACCTTAACCCTTTCAGCCGACCCGCCACACCGCCCGTTCGCGGAATGACAGCATAATATTGAAACGTTCCGGCATGACGTTTAAAGACACGTTAGTCTGGTGTTTAACTCTAATCGGATCTGATATTGAGCGTTTGACATTGTAAGACGAGATTAAGGGAGGAATTTATATATACGTTTCTTCCCTGTAGTTATATATACGTGTCGGCAATAAATATATAATATATAATATTAGCATAATAAATATTTTTTTTATATTATCTTTTATATACTATTAATTTGAGGATATTGATATTAATATATAAACTTATCAAAATTTATCATTATTTACGCATAAGAGATTAAGAGGTAAAGAATTGAAACATGATATGAACATCATTTAGCGATTTCGAGGCTCAGCTTTTCATGGATAACCATGAAGAATAGCTGATTCTGCTACTTATTTGCATAAACTTATTCACTTCATTGCACTGTTGAAAATTTGTTGTGTATGCAATCATGTGATGTAGTTACAAACTGCAATTTTTTCCTTAAAATTTTACTTTATTAGTTTGGAATATAGGAGCTTTTTCAGCTTATTTTGGAAGAGTTGTACCAAGTACTATGCTGGATAATCTTAGGTGAAACGAGTTTATTTACAAAGTGAATCTTTTTTTTTGTCTCTCCTCACGGAAGCAAATTTTGATACTGATGTAAAAAAAAATACCGAGATACTGTAGAGTTTTCCTGAAAGCGTATCTGATGGCTATTATTTGTCGGACGGTAGAAGATCGTTTTCTCATGGACGTCTCACGAATGTGATTTGTGACGGTTTTTCTACGAACGTGTGTATTCGATTACAAATAACGATAAAGTACGTCTTTTGGACGATGAAATAAATTCATCGTCGTGTGTATGAAGCCGCGATTAACCGAGTTCATTCATCTTACATCCACATACGCGAGAGATTCTCGACTATATTTTTTTTCCCTTTGAGATGTAAGCGGTTAATTTTTATATGGCACGCAGTATACAAATAAAAGTATTTAAAGATGCATTTCTAATATAATTTGAATAAAATTAATTGTTTTTATTTGTTTTTAATATTAAAGACGTAGAGTGAATTTTTACGAATCATGTCGAGGTAACTCAAATAGCGTTCGTAAATTGAAAGGCGCAGAGAAAAAGTGTATTTCACAATATAACAAAAAAATTCAAGCGTGCTATATTTCTCATTATACATCATTATCCGTTAATGAAATAAAAGGTTATTGTATTTTTTAATTTGCAAAGGCTTATGAATTCGCTCTCTCTCTCTCTCTCTCTCTCTCTCTCTCTCTCTCATCTTATTTTATAATTTATTAAATAAAGACACAATACGTATTTCTGCCCAAGGCCGTAGCTTAATTTAAATACAGGCACGTGCTTGAGGATACTATTATATCTATAATCGAAATATCAGAAGGAAATATCACACAGAACTGTGATAAATTTATATTGGATATTATTTAGCTATGTATATACAGGTTCTTTGCGGTGGCAAAAAACGCTCTTAATGGTATCTCATGTAGTATCCAATTTTAAAATTAACATTAAAATTATAAGAGCGATGTCTGTTACGAGGCTGTAATAACAACGATAATACCTTGTTATTAATTTCTTAAAAAGGATAAGAGAGAAGAAAAGATGGAAAAAGAAAGGGCTCTCTGAAATTATGGTTTACTTACTTGCATAACGGTACGATACAATGCAATTAACATTAACACGTCAATCGAATGAAATGCGTTCGCAACGGAAGTGTATCCTGTCGCGCGTGATTACCCGAGACACTTCATTCTCTCTCTCTCTCTCCCTCTCTCTCTCACTTTCCACAAAAATAAATGGAAGCGACGCTTTTTTCGAAAATGCGCATTACAGACTGCCGATATTAATTACTAGTTTCATTGGGTGTTGCACGTTTTGCATCAGTAATCACGCGCGTGTAACATCGTCCACAAAAATTTCAGGACGACGCTTTACGGCTCGTATATTTTTATCATCCGTAAATTTTTTTTTCTCCTGTTGCACCGTTAAATGGTTGACCGACTTTCATGTTCTACGAACAGCAGGCTTCATGAACGTAATCAAAATAACAAAAATACAAGACCGAATCAACTAGACTGGAAATCTGTTGTCCGTTGTTGTTATTGTTGCAGGAAAATGTTCTCGATTTTCCCCTCTTTCCTTCTTTACGCTTTTTTTTTTTAATTTGGATGAACGTGACGATTGCTTTTACCGCTCAATGGAAGTAATTACATCCTCGTTTATATGAACGGGATTCGCTTCATCGTGCACTTGGGATACGTTGCGCTAATTACGGGTTTCACAAATAAGCCGGCAGGACCGTTAATTTTCGGGGATAATTAACACGAGGAAACCTCGTTCTCTTAATAAACACAATCTTGTATGATTTCAATCAGTTGGCGCGGTTATTGGTTCCGTCCCCGATACATATTGTAAACCTACGAACAATCTTGCATGCGATGATCCTCCCCTGAATCGATTCATTATCGGGGAGTGATCCCCGACGACGGACTGTGCTTAATCGACTGTGCTTGAACAATGCACCACCTCCGCGCTTTGGGGATCGTGCTATAAATAAACAAGGCCGAAATTTTCGCCCAAAACCCGTCGTGGTGTTATCACGCGGAACAGCATATTTAGACCGAGAAAATATACATAATCTCCATGTTCTCGTTGTGCATTTAACGTCAAATATGGCTGCCCGATTCTAAACGTTCGTTTACATCCAACAGAGCCGCGCAACCGTGTCTGGCGTTAAATCCGAGATGGGAATATGAGCTGAAGACCTCATGTACTCGTATGTACACAACGTGCTATCTCCTATAACGTAACATCTTCTCACTTCTGTAATGTAGCGGAATAACGTCCAGTTAGGTATGTACTAAATTTACGGTGAGGATGCGAATCAATACGAACGAGAAAGGTCCGTAAATTTAAGTCGAATATTTTCAGGTTTTCGTCCGTCTCGTTAAAACTCAACGCATAAATTACCATTTGTCTTTAGAGAATCTTTCCAAGTTTGTAAATCCACGTTTGCATTATTGAACATTTTAGCGGGGAAAGAGCCGACATATCAAAACTGCATGCGATTGCACACGCTAATGCATGTGTTATTATACGTTATGTAGCACAATAACCGTGCGAGGCTTTATAGAGACTTATATGGAAAGATGCATTTTCTGTATCACCTAAAAGACAAAAAAGGACAGCACCTTCGCGTTCAACGCGGGCTTTTGTTCGAGAATGGCACGTCTGAATTTTTCACGACTTTCCGCCTTATTGGGTTCCGTAATTCCTCAACTCTGTTGAAAGCTTTTAGTTGAAGGTTTCTCTCTTATTAATCGCATCGGTATCCGCGCACGAGGCTCGATATCCGGCAGTGGAAAATTCGCTATTTTAAAAGACGCGATGAATTATTTCACATTGGCCTATATTCTAATCCCTTGCCGAAGTTTTAAATGTAAACCGTAGTTCGAAGTTATATTAACACAATATTTCACACCGTCTTAAAAGAAGATTATAGACTCTATTACTCTTTTACTCTCCACAATGAATAAATTTAAAAAATTTACATCATTATTTTTACCGTTTTTTGATTGTTAATATTAAACATTTTGATAGCAAAATTTTAGGCACAAATTAAATTTTTGTAGAGAAAGGGTTATTCTAGATTATTCAAGATTACTAATTATCCGCTAGCGTTTTTCTCTCTTTTTATTTAATTAAAACGCAAGTTATGTTTATCACTTGTACGTACATAAAAGTTAAACTAATGGATAAGTACGATCCGGGAAATTGCTACTATTACACGAAAAAGCAGAAATGTACTTCACTATCGAGTGAACCTTCAGTCCTGTGTACAAAGCAAGCGTCGCAGTCAAACGCGGAATTCATCCAGTATGGAAAAACGGGATTGAATTTTTATTCTTTCGCGTGTTTCACAGGCGGCGTATTTTCGCCTCTATTCATTTACGGGAACCATGCCAGTCAATAGGGTACAATGAATACGGTGAATTATCGGCCGGTGTTTCCCCTTTTTCCGTGCGATTCGCGCGAATCTCGAAGCGTAAGATTCGATGAAACTATTCCGGTGCATTCGGTGTACTCAATGACCGCCTCTTACAGCACGTCTATCGATTTGTTGTTAAACTCTTTTGTTAGCGACGACTAAAAAAAGATTGCTATTTTTTTTTTACAAAAAAGAATTATATTTGAGTGCCGCTATTTAAGAAATTCGTACAAATGATATTTGCCACGAACGTTTCGCCGGCACTTCGTTTATAAATACAGATAACGAGGCTGAGCTGCCTTATACGAACCGGCTTGTCTCTGCCAGATTATGATCATAAATGGTTCCGTTGTAATATGCATATCATGAGGGGCAATCTTAACGGGCTTAACCCTTTCAAGCTTACAAGTGAGTGACATAATTCGCGCTACATCTATCATTACAGCTTACTTATCAGGTGAATTATTCTCACGGCATCACCTTAGCGATAAGAGACCCAATCGAATAGAGAAACGTAATCATTAAACTTTATAAGCGTGGTCAGAGGCAAGATCAACACGTTTACGACCAACGTCATATTTGAATGATATATACGAGCCGGTTTGCGGTTTCGCTTCTCACCGTACACCACTGTCGTATATCAGGGTAACCAAAGATTTATATCCATGCTTCACGTCCAGAGGTACAAAATGATGATCCTTCCCTTATTGTAAGTTTTATCGATCGTTATCTCCATTTCACGATTAAATTTGAGTTTTTCTTAAACATAATCTACTAGAATCAATTAGAGACCAAAATTTTCTTAATTTTACAAGTACAGCCATGAAACACGGAAGTCACAAAAACATTTTAACTTCAAATTGCTACATAGTGACTCAAATTTGATATTTAGTCAGAAATTGATCGTAAATTGATCAAAGGATTTTATAACTACATAAAACATAGGTACATATAGAGTCGAGAATTATATAAAAATTCTAAAAATAAATTGACTCCACAGAGATACACGGACTTTAACGCACTCCATGCAAATAAATTCGCCAAATTACACGGCAACGTCCTGAGACCCAATGTATTATGGCGCACCGCAGTTTGTCACTCACATTTTTGAACATCGCTTTACACTTACCAACCCACATCTCGTCGTGAACGTGTTAACGCGACTCTGCCATCATGGGATGGCGGCGGAATCACCGCAGGATCCGTGTCGCCTATATGTATTTCGTCGTCCGGACGGCCATCGTGGTGCCACCGAATAGATTTCCGTCGCCGTCGCCGGTGATTCATTTCTAACTGGCAGGAGAGGAACTCGGCTTCTCCGAGGAAAAGCCGGCGGAAGGCCACGTCTTTTGCCACGCACGAACACGAAAAACGCGCGCGGCGACGCCTAAACTCGCGACCCGACTGGGAATTTAGTACGTCATTAAAATGTCGTCTCGGGGGATGTTCGCGCGAGGGGAAGGGTAGAGGCAATTAGTTACTGCCATAAATTACCATTACGCGCGGAGCGGCGCCGGGGTTTCTAACAGCCGATCCTTTTTATTCGCCGCTCTGATATCGGGTTAATGAAACGATGCACTGCGCGAGCACGGTGCCGTCGCAATCGATTTTAGTTAGGTGCAGCGCGTGTCACATCCGCGCGCGCGGATCGTCTTATAATATGCGTCGCGGGTAGCTAGGAAGAAGGATAGCGAGCGAGGCCATATATAGGGTAGAGCACAAAGGTGCGGAAGAGAATTATGGTGGAAACAATATTTCAAGCCGTCTAAAATAACTTCCTGACGACACGCGTGATAGTTATAACGAAATTAATAGTTAGCTTATACAAGTCATCGACTTAATCAATAATTTTAATCGCAGTTTTTACTGTAATATCCCTGGTCATTGTTTTTGCAAACATTTACACTTTCAATAAAATGTGATTTACGCTGAACGATATTTTAAATTAATATTCATTTGTATCGTATATGGTATTTGTATTGTATGGTAAATTTTGTATGACGCAAATGAATATTAATCTCGTTGGAAAAAAAGGTATATATATTTGATATGAATTTATGTGTAGCATGATTTTGTTTGAAATGTTGTTGATTTGCATGAATGTTCGCAAATCATTAACCGCTACCGTAAATTATTGGTCCACGAACTGATCCTGGTAGCGCGCGGTTGATTCGATATATCGGCGTGTTGGTATTTCGGGATGTTATCACCGGAAGCACTCGTTAATGGGGCGGTCGGAGGAAACGGAGATACGCAGAGTCCACCGGCGCGCAGGTATATTACCGGGATACCGTTTTTCCGGTGACAATATTGAGGTTGGAAATGCGCCATTGTTCTCGGGGTCCATATAAATCTAAGCTTGTTCGCGAATTGTTATATACACGCATGAATCTTCCACGAATATCCATGCAATCTCTCTCGAAAGACATGCGAAAACCTGTCACTCGCTAAGGTAAAAATAACGATACGATTGCAGTAGTACACTTTCGCTATCAAAACATATGTCTTTTAACGTATTAATTTCTGTTTTCATTCTTTTACATTCCGTTACATTTTTGTTACATAATATTACCTTGCACTTGAAATATCGTTAACTGTAATTTTCAAATATAAATAAACATTTGGATTTTTGTTCGAAGGATGAATAAATTAGGCACCATTTCGATCTCTTCAAGTATTCAATATTTACATCTCTGATGTTCATTTCCAGATTGATTTTATTAAAATTTATCTGACATTGATATTCTGTTTATTATTTTGTTACTCTAAGGTTTAAATTGATAAGCACCTGTCAATGTAACACAAGAGTAGTTGTCGCTGCGGTTGAGTTAACTTCTAACTCTAACTCATCGCAGAATCCCGCGTTCTCTGGTCCGACAGCAATTAGGTGTCACATGTCGCGCATATATTCTCCGTTATTAGCCCATCGATCCGCTCAAGATGAATTAAGGAAAATTCAACGTTCAGATATAATAAGGCGAAGGAACGTTCAATTACACAAGCTGAGCGCAAATCGCTATATGCCATAGGGTTACCCGCGTTTGCGGTCGCCGAATTTGGGCCGTGCATTTCATTAATGAGACGGGACGGGTGCCGTGCGGGGGGAACGATTAAGGTTTGTAACCTGTGGTTAAGCCTCGGTGGTATCGGTCCACACGCGAATGTCAGCTCCGTAGGAAAGTGAACATATGTGCGTGCGTGCGCGCGCGCGCGGCCGCGTGAGCGCCGCGCACACGTAAACCATTGGCACAGGAATCGCCGAAAATGGAAGCGAATTATCGAATTTTCGGAATATTGGCAGTCGGAGCGACGTCGCACACATTCGCCGTTGTACGCGTATGTCCCGAGAAATGCAGGCGCGAGGCTTGTCGCTGAAGGAATTCCGCGGAGTAAGTTCCGTTTCAACCGAAACTTACCTTGCGCTTTGCCCACGAATTGTAATCGCTGGTCGAAATCCGTACAGTTGAATCGAAATTTCATTAAAGTAAACGGCTGATAAAAGAATTATCAAGCCGCGGTCTTTGTCTTAGTTATAGCACAAACTGCTGAAGACATCCGCGCTACTGCATGGCAACATTGATGGAGTTATACGCGAAATATTCAACGCTTGGAGCTTGTGATCTCGAAGTCTTTTTGATCCGAGTATATCTGAAATTATTTGGGAAGCCGAGACGAAAATCTTTATAAGACTATTTAATATCTCTTTGTTTAAAATTACGCACGGAACTTACGTTATTTGATAATGTTACTTAACCGGCTCCGCAGGCAGGGGGCTAATACCTCAGGATTAACGTCTGAGCTTTATTGGATCGTTGTAATTAGTAACCTCGCGCACCTCGTTCATTCATTTGCGAAATCCGTAAAT